GATTTAAACCTTTATAGCTCTGAATTCCTTAAGACATAATCAGCAGAAATTTAACTTTCAGAATTGTATGTAATCATTTGCCTCATCCATCCCAAAAAATGGAACCATTTTTAACTTGCAATTAAAAGACTTGGCTCCAAATCTCCCATCCCAGCCCTCAGCTTCCTCCTCAGCCTTGGGAAGGACAAGCACAGGAGGCTGCAAACTGGAAATTGTAAAACCAGCACCATTTCTGCTCTAATTCAATTTACCAAACCCAGGGAAATCAATAAGAGACGTGTCTTTGCATGTCACACTCATTTCTTTTTTTTTTTGGCCAAACTCTGCCTGTCTCATTCACAAGTGCAGATGGAACAGGAGGAAAGCAAGGCCCTTTTTAGATTTCCACAATAAATGCACACAGGGAAGTCTTTGGGACAGGTAATATGATATAGATTCAAATCTTTCAGGGGAACAACATCAGAAATATTCCAGTGTACATGTGGACTTTAAACTTTCTCTCTCTTCCTGCCCTGAAATGAACTGCTCCAGATGTGAGGAATTATTTTGGCTGCTTCTGAACAGGATTTATACACAGTTTTGACGTGCAGATATTTTACATGGAAATGGATATTTTATAGGGAAATGGATGTTTTTTCCAATGGAAATTCCATTCCAAAGAGCTTGCAAACATCTCTCCCTTTGCAGGAGGTTAGGGATGGCCACCCCCTGATCCTGATGGAAGGAACATCTGCAGAATTCCTGCCCATCAGGTGAGGTCCTAAATGCGCTAAAATACGGACGTTCCTCACAAGTTACTTCAAATTTCCTTTTCTCTGTTTCCATTTTCACTCCAGAGGCAGGAAAATGACCCTTCTCTGCCCTCAGGATTCCCTCCTCACCTGAGAGGATCTTCCTTCTCCCTCTTTGACCTTCTTGTCTCCCCTGACATGTCATTAAACCAAGCTCCACTTTTTTCTCAAATAACTTTTCTGACATTTTCTGTGACAGTTTCTTTTAAATCCTCCTCACCCAATGCTTAAAATACTTTAAAATCTCCTTAACCAATGCTTAAAAACCTAAATTTCCCCTGTGTCCTGCTTTCCCACCATTCCATCCTCCTCTGAGAGGTGTTTATTGTAACTCCAGTGACAAAGCAGGTGACATGGAGCAGGATCTGACAGGAATGTTCTGGTGATTCATCCAGGGTAAAATCTGGGAGCCCTATTCCAGGAATATGGAGAAAATTAAGGAAAGCCCCAGAGAAAGAGGGTTCAAGAGAGATGTGGTCCCACAGAGCCATGAAATCCTCTGGGTTGCTGCGGTTTAGTTGGGATATTGGGAAGGAATTCCTGGCTGGGAGGGTGGGGAGGCCCTGGAATAGAATTCCCAGAGAAGCTGTGGCTGCCCCTGGATCCCTGGAACTGTCCAAGGCCAGGTTGGAGCAACATGGGCTGGTGGAAGGTGTCCCTGCCCACGGCAGGGGTGGCACTGGATGGGCTTTGAGGTCCCTTCCCACCCAAACCAGTCTGGCATTCCATGGAAATTCAACAACTCTAAACCTGTTATGAGCTAAATATTCCCAAAATTCTTCCTGGATTCTGTCTGAAGAAGCAAAACTGCACAGGTCAGGCACAGAGGGAGAGATTTAAGAATCCTCAATTCAACAGAAATTTAGGGATCAGAGAAAGGGAATGGTGTGGATGGAACCAGGAGCAGACCCCACAAAACTGGCAGCATTTTCAGGGCATTAAAAGGCTAAAACAAAGATTAAGAGCAGCTGATTTTTCCAGCTCAGAACCCCATTCCCACCTGGAAAACCTCCTGTCCTCTTTCTGCCACTCCCCAAAGATGCTCTTCCCCATCCTGTGGCTCCCAAAAACCAGCAAACCCCAGTCAAAAATACCAAGCCAAATAATTACCCAGCACAAACAGTCTGCTGGGAGGGTGTAAAGAAAAACAAGGATTTTAATTATGGCCCTCATTCCAGGGGGAATTCCTGCAAAAACGTGTGTCCAAATGGATCACTGGGTTCCAAATCACCCCCTGGTTTGAAACGTGGCCTCAGAGACATGAAAGGGGAATATTTTGATGAGCCTGACACGGAGTGTTGTCAAGGAAATTAGAGCAAAGTAACTCCAGTTAATTATATAAATAGATAATTAAAATTAAATTAAAATTAAATTAAAATTAAGCAGGGAAAAAAAATAAAAAGCAGCAAAAAAAATCCTAATGCAATTAATTTCATTATATATTCTTCAACTTGGGCGAATTCTCCTCGTAATTCCCTAATTCCTCTCGGGGCAGGGGAATCACGGCCCTCGTTTGTGCCCAGCCATGCAAACAGTGGCATAAACACGGATTAAAATCACCCATTTTCATTTCAAATGAGTGGGATTCAGGCAGGAGGGGGAAGGAGAGGGAAGGAGAGCCAGGAGCCTCCGGGTCCCAAAGGCCTTCCCGGGATTTGTCCCGGTCGGCTCCAGGACTCCCAGGGAGGTCACACAAGCACAGACCCCACACCCATTCAGCATAAAGAACGTGCTCAAACTGTGTGTTTGTTTTGCAGCTCCCAAAGCTCATCCCGGCAGGAGATCTGCAGGATAACAAACTGTTTTCTGCCTCAACTTTGCCAAAATATCCGTCTCCAAAGTCTGCCTTAATCCCCAATGTCTCCCTCCCTGCACAAACTGTTGTTTCAGGTGTT